ATGGCCTGGGCAGCGGCTGCCAGCTGGGCAGCGTTCAGGCTCAGGATGCCCCCGGCCGGGGCGATTTTGGGCAGCGGGCGCTCCTTGCGGGGCGGGGGTTTCCTGGAGCCCCCCGGGCCGGGGCTGCGGGACACGGGGCTGCTGCAGGACGATCCCGACGGAGCCACGGCCATGGCTGAGGCCTCCTGGAGCACCACGGTCTGCAGCTCCCCCGAGGGGGTTTTGAAGTAGACCTGAGGGCGGCAGAGAAGGGGGGTGAGATCGGGAATGGTTCCTCTTCCCTTCTCCAACACACACCCCAGGGATCATGGAATGGTGGATGGGTTTGGGTTGGAAGGGATCTTAAAGCTCATCCAGTTCCACCCACCCGGGGACACCTTCCATTAGGTTGCTCAGAGCTCCATCCAACCTGGCCTTGGACACTTCCAGGGATGGGGACAGCCAAAACTTCTATGGGTTGGAAGGGATATTAAAGCTCATCCAGTTCCACTCCCCTGCCATGGGCAGGGACACCTTCCACTAGCCCAGGTTGCTCCAAGCCCCGTCCAACCTGGCCTTGGACACTTCCAGGGATGGGCCCAAAACCTTTCAGTTCCTCCTTCAAAACCCTCCCAAAATCCCTTCAGTTCCTCCTTCAAAACCCTTCAGATCCTCCTTCAAAACCCTTCAGCTCCCAAACCCTGGGTGAGGCCGAGGAGAAGGCCCAGGTGGAGCCTGGTACCTGGGGAGGTGGTACCTGGGTGGGAGTGGGCAAGGCCCAGGTGGAGCCTGGTACCTGGGGAGGTGGTACCTGGGTCGGGGTGGGCAAGGCAAAGGTAGAGCCTGGCACCTGGGGAGGTGGTACCTGGGTCGGGGTGGGCAAGGCAAAGGTAGAGCCTGGCACCTGGGGAGGTGGTACCTGGGTCGGGGTGGGCTCCGCCGCCTGGATCTGGAAGTTCTGGGAGGCCTTCTGGGGCACGGTGGGCAGCGTGGCCGAGGCCGCCTGGACCACGCGCAGGGCCTGCTGTGGGATCTGCACCACCTGCGACTCCTGCTTGGGCTGCACCACCTGCACCTGCTGCACCACGGCCGGCTGCCCCGCGCCGGGGCTCTGCACGATCAGCAGGTTGTTGCCGGCCTGGATGATGTTCTCCGCCGTCGTCTCGATCAGCACCGTCTCCACCTGCTCGGCCACGCGCCACGGCGGCGGCGGGTTGGGTGGGAGACGCCGCCTTCTTCCGGGGCTTTTTGCCCGCTTTGGAAGGGCTGTCCGTGAGCAGCTGGGCCTGGGC